GGGGCTCCCCAACCCCCCAACCCCTCCCAGAAGCTGGCGATTTTACCCCCCCTGGTCCCATGGGGGGGTGGAGGGTGGCAAGGGTCCAAGGGAGCCTCCCAGGACACTTGCCACCCTCCCCCCACCCCACCCCCACGGGGCCAGCCCTGGCGAAATCGCCAAGTTCTGGGAGTGTTTGGAAGCTTGATAAGCCTCCAAACACTCTCAGAAGCTGGCGATTCTAACCCCCCTGGCCCCGTTGGGGGGTGGGGGGAGCGTGGCAAGGGTCTGAGGGAGCCTCCCAGGACCCTTGCCACACTCCCCCCACACACAGCGCCATCACCGGCAAAATTGCCAGTTTCTGGGAGTCTTTTGAGGCTTGGGAAGCCTCTGAAGAGTCCCAGAAGGTGGCGATTTTGCTCCCTCTGACCCCCGAGGGGGGCAGGGTGAGTCTCTAAAGCATCCTGGAACACACCCTAGGACCCTTTGGAGGCTCACCCTGCCCCCCCTCCCGCTGGGCCAGAGGGGGGGAAATTGCCAGCTTCTGGGACTCTTCTGAAGCTTCCCAAGCCTCAAGTCCCAGAAGCTGGCGATTTCGCCCCCTCTGACCCCCGGGGGGGGGCAGGGCGAGCCTCCAAAGGGTCTTAGGATGTGTTCCATAAGATGGACCTCTCCATAAGGCTCACCAATTTTTAGGAGAAGAAAACAAATTATTTTTTTCCTGTTTTCTTCTCCTAAAAATTTGGTGTGTCTTGTGGAACAGTGCGTCTTATGGAGCGAAAAATATGGGTATTTTTGGAGTACTATTGTATTCCTGGAAATGTTATTTGCTCTACATTAGTATTTACAAAATGCAATTTAATGCACTCTCACGATCCATGCAAGGATAGAACAAAGGCACAAAGAAAACATTTAGATTTGTTAAAGACAGGGAAAAATTCTAGAACAGAACAAAACTGTATGGAAGGAATAGGCTTTACTTGAACCTTCAACTTCAGACAGCTGGCATTTAAAAGATTCTGATGAAATTCTCAAAAAACTACTGTTTAACATTGATCTTACCTTCTTGACATGGAACGCAGTATTTTCCGGCTTTTGCTTAAATTTTCACTTGTATTTACCAACTGGAAGATAAAAAAACTTAGCTTTATTTCTTGTAAAAACCTTTGTTTTAATGTTCGCACTTGTTCTATGCTTACACAGAATATAAATTTTGTGCCCAGATTATTCAGAGAAGAACAGAAAAATGAAACCCACCATGGTTTTCTACTTACAACATTAATTTTCCGATGTGAGGTTCCCCCAACCCCCTTGTTTTGGATTTCACCTTCCAGAGGCCTAACCAGTAGGGCTAATAATTGGGGATTCTAATAACTGATGTCCAAATATTTGAAGAACCAAAGACTAAGAATTACTGCTATATAAGGAGCAACATGGCTAACAAGATTATGCTACAGTGGCTATTCTTCAGTAAGTCACAATTAGAATAGAATCATTGGATTAGCAGAATGTAAGGGATTTGGCTCACCAAATCTTTCAATGCAGCTACTTTAGTAGCAACTTGCTACTGGATTTCAGCCAGTGTTTTAAGAGTGGAAGTTAAATGCCACAATGTGCCTTTGTTTTGAATAGGAGAGCTGCGACTCAACTATGGTCTAAATTTATTTTCTTTACAGAATTTATTTTCTTTAAAGAAATTTTCAGCTATGACCTATTTTAAATCAAATTTGTCTCTCTTGGAAATACAACCAGATATATCTGCATGTGTGTTCTATGCCACCAATTCAAAACCGACTTATTGTGACTCTAACGGGGCTTTCAAGGTGAGATATTTAAGGAGTGGTTTGACCAGTTCCACTTCCCCAGTCAGTTTCCATGGCTGAGTGCAGATTTGAACCCTGGTTTCCAGCGTCCTAGTCTGTCACTCTATCCACTATACTACACTGGGAATTTGTGTATATATCTGGGATCTCTCAAATACAGAAGGTCTAGAGAGCTGGGTTTTTTTTAATGAAGTGTGGGTAATCATGGAACAATTTTACTGACTGAATGCTTTCTTTTGTCACATAAGATTTTCTGGCATTAAAAATTTTGTGAGTTACCATTAATGAGGTGTTGTTGTTTAGTCGTTAAGTCGTGTCCGACTCTTCGTGACCCCATGGACCAGAGCACACCAGACCCTCCTGTCTTCATTGAGGTAACAGATCCCAAAATGGCAGACATTCGAAAGTGGCCACAGGTCAATAATACGCCATACGCATTCCACTGAGAAGTTACGTGTGTAATCTCTGAAAACCTGTTTCAAAGAGCTACAGTGGACCCTTGACTACAGACGGCTTGACTTACAGACTTTTTGAGTTACAGACTTCTCTGGCCGCAAAATTTAGGTTTGACTTGCAGCCTGAGAATTGACTTACAGACCAGAAAAAAACCAAAATGGAACAAAAACAGCCTGTTACGGGATTAATCGGTTTTCAATGCACTGTAGGTCAATGGAGACTTGACTTACAGACTTTTTGACTTGAGAACCACCTTCCAATACGGATTAAGTTCTCAAGTCAAGACCCCACTGTATAAGCAGCAAGGACTAATCAAACGAACAGTCTGATTCAAAATAAGACTGCTTCATATGTTCATGTAGTTATATAGAACTCAGTAATATCACAAAACTATCCTAGCAGCAATTTAGCACATTCAAAAATTCAATACTATAGCTCTTGCTTCTTAGAAAAAAAAATCAGGTCTGAAAAGGAAGCCCAAGAGCAATTTTTTCATATCAACTTTACTTTGAAGTGAGGCTAGTGTTTACTTGTACCTTCAAATTTCATTAAGAATGCTTTCTGGAAAATCTTCCATAGCCACACTTTTCAGGCTAATGTGTTTACATGAAAATACATGGAAGAAATCAAGTTATTTCCAAAAGTGAAATGCCGGGCTGTTATATCATTATTTGTACTCACTCTGCCTTTGGTGCGTTCTAGCTGCTCCCGCTGCTCCCCAAGTTCTTCAATTATATCAGTACCAATCTGATCTGTTTCTGCAGCAATCTGGTGTGACCGTTCTATACTTTGGCTGGCTCGGTTCAAGCTTTCTGTCCCTTGAAGCAGTAACACCCTTTGAGACTGTATCTGAGTCTAAAAGAGACAATTAAGACCTACTTAAAGAAGTAGAAAAAACTTTTTACCTTCATATTTTTTATAATTATGAAGCCACAGTTTAACCAGCCAAACAGGTGATGGTCTTTACTTTACCAGAATGTTCGGCCACCACACAGACTAACAATGTTAGATTTACACAAGAACCTATGTACATCATACCTGAGAAAAAGAAGCCTGTGCCGTTTTTCTCTTAATATCATCCCACGAACCTCTCCTCCCTCCTGTTTATCACAACAGTACCAATTTTGAAACTCTACTACCAGGTGGGCAACTGGGAGAAGCCAAGCTAGCAGTTCTGCCTCAGCACAATCACAAGAATAACCTCAGGATGTGAGCCCACAATTGCACAATAGAATTTTTGCTGTTGTATTACCATTATTCAGTTCTGTCATTTATTGTGTAACACAATTTTGAAATGCATTTTTAATTTTATCACTGAGCTCCAAGGCAGTCCCCCAAATTAATAAACGTGTGAAATGTAATGTGCTCAATAGGTTAAATAATATTTCTTTTGATACTCTGAGATTTATCTCCCTTCCGTCCTCTCTTTTCTGGCTGAATACCTTACTGACATCTTTTATTCAACATAATGGAAAAATGGAATGCGTAAGGGCAAATGAGCAATGTTTTATCCCTCAGTACATGCTGTCTATCATATGACCAAGCACATGACCCCCTCCTTGACTTCAGGAATCTGAGGGTCTCAATGATAAGCCAGCAGTGCATAAATGTGTTTGACAGACTGCCTACTTATGGTGTGCAGAACCAAAAGGATTCTGGTAATTCAGTGTAAAATAAAAAGATCACTAAAGTTCATATTTGCTTTTACTAGCTTTACTGCCTGTGAAAGTTTTATTACACATATACTGCTTGAATGAATGCATTTTCAGCTATGCAAAAGGTAGATAGCAAATTTTATATTTTAAAAACTGAAATTACAACAGCTTGCCAGATAAAGTGCTACGAGCACAACTTAAATTTAGATGCCAAACAGTATGTGCATCTGGCTATTGCTTATTAGCACTGCAATGCTTTACTGTAATTAGAGCAGAACTTAACAAACCATTTAAATGTTCTGGAGCATTGTTATACTGGGTAAATGCCAATTTTTAAACATAACTAAATTTTATCAGTAATAATGATTGCAATCAGGAGAGTCTTTATTCATTTACTTTTTCTTAATGCCAAATAATTGCTTCTTTCCTCCTACCTGCAAAAACATGGACCTTCCTTTCAGAACTTAAAAACTTTGGTTGAGAATTAACAATCTTAAAATTTTAAATCAGCTGTTAGCCCTACTTAATTTGTATGCCTATAGTACACTTTGGGGAAAATTTTTGTAATTTTCCTATATGTACAAAGTTGCTATCAATCATATCAATCCACAAATTAAATCTATCATTCATATTTGAAAGCCTTAGATTAGCAACAACTTCAGCTGGCAACAAATAATCAAAAATAACTTTCAATATAGTTAATTTGGATGTAGTACTCACACTCTGATCATTTTCTGTAGAGAAAATTCCAAATTTAGGCTCTCCACGCACACCTGGTACCACTCCCAAATCTGTACTCTTCATTTTCCTCTGAAATGTAGCAAGGTCTCTTCTGTATGTCCGAATCGTTGCCATCATTTGATTGTTAAAAGAAACTGGAGCATATTTCAGTTCTTCTTCCATTTCCCGTAACTTTAAAAAGTTTTTTTAAAAAAGACACCAAGGTCCTTGATATATGTGGACTTGAAGAAACTTGGTCAAGTTTTAGGTCAATTTGGTGAGGGTCTAAGTAATATAACATTTCTCTAAAACTACTATCTCTACCCTGGTTTCTCACTGAAACATATCATATGACATTTCTTTATGATTACATCACAATACACCATATTCTGAAGAAACTACTGTATCATTGCCCTGCTAAAGAAATGGGAGACTATAGACAAAAAAGTAGGTTAAAAAAAAGAGAAAAAATAAGTAATTTGCGAATCAAAATATTTCAACAGAGAAGAAAAAAGAAAACAAGGTCTATCTAGCATGTTTATTTTACATTCATAAAGCCAATAGCCAACAAAGAAATACCACACTAAGGAATATAAAAAGTAAATAGAATCTAAAAATATATAGAAACTGCTCAGTTTCTTCAGTAACATGAAAACATCAAAAGCCTATTATGAAAGTATATTACCATATTATTCTGTGTATATAACAACACTTTTTCCTAAAATAATTAAAGGAAAAATTGATGGTCATTTTATACACGGAAGTAAGGAGGGAGGAAGCGGTCAAAGAGCTTTGATCCCTGCTTCCCCCCTCCATTTTCTTTGCAAAAAATTTCTCCATGTTTTGCAACAAAAGTGTATGAGGAAAGAGTTTCCTGCTTTTCCCCTCCACTTTCTTTGCAAAAAGCTGCTTTCCCCCTATACTTTCATTGCAAAAAGTTGCTTTTCCCCTACACTTTTGTTGCAAAAATGTAAGGGGAAAGCAGCTTTTTGCAACGAAAGTGGAGGGGGAAAGCAGGAATTGCTTTCCTCCTACGCTTTTGTTGCAAAAAGTGTAGGGGGAAAGCAGCTTTTTGCAAAGAAAGTGGAGGGGGAAAGCAGGAATTGCTTTCCTCCTACGCTTTTGTTGCAAAAAGTGTAAGGGGAAAGCAGCTTTTTGCAAAGAAAGTAGAGGGGGAAAGCATGTTCCTCGCAAGGAAGTGGAGGGGGAAAACAGGAATCAAAGCGCTTTTACCACTGCCTTCCCCCTCTACTTTCTTGCAATGAAAGAAATTTTCGGTTAGAAAAGGGGGGGGGGGAAATCTTATACATGGGGGTGTCTTATACATGGAAAAATATGATACCTTTCTTTAAAAAATCAGAGGACTGTCAAAAGTAAATAATTTCGATTCACAAAGCCTTACATGGTGCACAAAAGGCTCGTGGGCTATATTTAACTTTACATGAGCTGATTTCCATAGAACACAAATCTCCCTTCCCTCCCATCTTCCCCACTCCAACCTCCTGTGCAATCTCCAGATTTGATTCAGAAATGCCTCCAAGCCCATGAACAGCATTTAGGAAAACATAGGGATAGAACCGTTCTTTCTCTTGTTTGGTTCTGTATGTGGATGGAAGGAGGAATGATACTATGATTGATGTTTTGTAGCCCAAATAAATTTATTCCAGTGACAATTAGGTTTTACTGCCAACCTGCAGACGTTTCTGATGCTTAGTTTTGTATTTTTGTTTAAAAAAACAAATCTGCACATATTCACCAATGTTTTAAAAAAGACCAGGACACTAATTTCATGACTATAAGGCTCTTTAGATTTTTTTTTCTTGAACAGCATCTCAATCTGTTGCTTACTATTTGAAGGTAAAGTTTGAAAAATTGTAAAGAGTCAGCACAACCCAGCAGTGTTAACCTCAATAATTCTTCAGTTAAAGTCAGAGAATAGCAATCAGTACAAATGGCTATTCTAAGTACTTGATTTCATTTGGCTGCTACATTGCTGAATGTAGCCAATGGAGACGTGAAGGAAAAAAAAGTTTTGAAACACAATTTGTATTTATTGCTACAAAATGACCTAAGGTTCCAATCAGAAGAAACTGAACTGTTCACATCTGCCTCTTCCTTCACTTGTAATCCATATGCTCACCGTTTCATACGCTTCTTTTTGTTTTTCATCAAATTCTCGTATCAACTTCTTTTTCTCTTCTGGAAAACAAACAGATAATACATGAAAGAAATACATTCCTCACAGAATAATAAACAGCAACATGAAAAATACTTCTCAAGGTGAATTCTCAAGATAAGTGTATATATTTATCTGTGCTAACTCATTTAGCCAGGGATATAGTATCTCCTTTTGTGAACATGCTTTTCATGACCAGATTGTGACCACAGGAAACTGCCGTCAACTGTTTTACTTGAGAAAGGGATTACAGATACTGGCATCAATCCACACCTCAATGCAAAATATTCTATTTTGCACATTTATTCAGCCAGGGACCATGACTGCTTAGTGAATGGGAAGATCCAGTCCATGCAGACAATGTAGCACATGGGAAAATACTGTGTTTATACAGCTGTAGAGACAAAGATCCAATCTACATAATTTCTCTACCTCCTTAAGTAGAAGGGCAGAATTATACATACAGTATATTATACAGTTGTATAATTCACATGTTGCTTCGTATGCATAGAGGAAGAACATTTTTTAGACTTCTGTTTCTTAAGATTTCTGACTCGGAAAGTATATCAGCAGACACCTCACTCTAAAAACTATGCACTTTTAAACACTAGATGTCCTCCCCCTCCCAATGCTAGTTGTTTTGAGGAAAATGTATAAGTATTACAAGAATCTTTCACAGTGACCACTTGAACTTCATTAGTAACGAGGAAATCTAAGGAGTTAAAACTTCTACTTACAAAAGTGCTGCTAAACTTCAGATTACGTACTGTGTTAGAATACATTCTGGGAAGCTTGCAAGCATCCAGATTAAGCTGACCGTTTGCTCTCAATAGATACAGTAATAAATAATAATTTATTGACTTCAACTAAGTTTACACATGCAACTCCAACATTTTCCAATGTAATATTCTGAGGAGGCAGAAGTATAAAAGGTCATACTGGATGCTGATGCATAATAATGTTGGACTTGTGATTTTTTGTTTTTAGTATGTTCAAATGACATGCTGAAATAATATAGATGCATAACACAATAAAATAAGCCAGAGCACCCTTGAGATGAGAGAACATCCACAATATTCAGTATCTCTGAAAAGAGAAGTACCATTTTTCTCATGTCATATGCAATTCAGGAATAATTTGTCAAGTAACAGCATATGTTTTTCATAGGCTAACAATTCATGAACTCATTCCGATACAGTGGATAACTGAAAATAATCATAATTTGGGAACCGCAGAGCTGGAAAGGGTCCTTTGGATTATCAACTCCATTGACAAGGAGGCATAGTGGGGAATCAAACTAAACTTCCAGCTCAAACATGAACATTCAGTTGTGCCAAAAAATCAACTTCACAGAGTATTTCTTTCTGGGTATCATTTTAATTTAAAACAAGTCAGCAATGTAATAAAATGAATAATAAAAGTTATGTACATCACTGTTATAAATATTAGCTACATTGCTAGACAAAAAAACTAAGTGGAAATTCCACGTTCAAAAAGTTTTTTAAAAAATTATATCAGATAAAATAAAATAGCAGGGGATATTTTATATCTATATTCATCATGGCTTGCTTATCACCTTTCACAAGGTATTTGGCTGGCTATTGCAGGATTATGTGGCCTTCTGATCTCACTATCTCACCTGGCATGAAAATTCAAGACATTCAATCTATCCTATGATGTTCAGAGTAATATAAGATGCAAAATGGCATCTACTTTATGACCAAGGTAAAAACTTGCTCATAAAAACCTGTCATCTTACCCAAATAATAAAAGTGTGTCAAAGTCATGTAGTGGCTAGCCCTAGTTTCAAAAGCAGGAAAATCCAGGTCCACTTGGATATGCTTGGGCAAGTCACTTTCTCTCAATGTAATCTTAGAGTGAGCAATGTCAATACTCTTGGGACTGTAGCTTCCATCATTTCTCACCATTAGCTGTGCTGGCTAAGACTGATGAGAGATACCATCTCAAAAAATCTGTAGGCCTGTATTATTGTGCAAAGTTACTGTAAGTTTGGCTTCCCCCCCAAGGGAAGGATACAAAATAATAAATGTCTTTGAATCGGTATTTCTGCTTTTCAAGGCTACACAGAATTCCTTCAGCCCAACAGACTTCTGTGTAAAACACTCATTCAGTATGGAATTACTATTAACAACAGTACAACCTTAAATTAATTTAAGAACAACTTTAAATTGATCCTGCCACTGACTCACAATTGGGATCATAAACAAAAGTTGCTTTAAACTGATTATGATAATCAACTAAGGGGCTGACAATCACTCTGTAGTAACTGAGTGCAAAGCTGTGCTATTTTGTAGCTTGTCTCAACAATATTGCCCTGCCATTCAGAACATTTTTTTCCTCTTATCACAAGCTGGAGAGGGCCATTGAAGAGGCCGCCCAATTACACACTGAGAGTTGTAGGTATATACAGATACGAAAACAAAGTAGTTTTCATAAGTCCCTTTTACATATTTCTGGGGGGGGAGGGAAGGGAGCCAACACCAAGGCTTACTAGTTTTCAGTCAGAAAACCATTTAAAATGCCAGCTTCGCCTTCAAACACGGGTTTCCATGGTCCTCCTCCTCTCTCGGTGTCCATATGTAGACGTAGTCTAGAGGGGCGGGGTAAATAAATAAATAAATAAACAAATAAATAAACAAATATGACCTGGCCCCTCATCCACGAGTTTAAGGCTGCTTATTCGATTCACACTCACAACCTTCCTTAAGGCCTGGGGACTCCTTGCTAAATAACCGTGTCCAGCCTTCGTGAGGCAATCAAGCGCGTGATTTCCGGCGTAGCCTGAACACCGAAATCCCTTCCTCAACACGGCTACACCCTTATTGATTGATTGATTGATTGATTGATTTGATTTGTATCCCGCCCATCTGGTTGAAACAACCACTCTAGGCGTCAACCACTCCTTCTCTCCCCCCCCCGGTTAATCCCAGACGTAGGGGTTCTCTTTCTCCCATTCCCCCCCCCCAACTTGTTTCCCAACCTCTTCCTAAAACCCACTTCGGAGGTTCGCTGTTTTCCAAGAGTTTCATTCCTAGACCTTATAACAAAAGCCAGTCAGGGCTTTCATGTCCCCCCCCCCAATTAACTCCCGAGGGGTGGGGTGGCTGAACGGCTGAAGCCTCGTCAGGGCGCCCCGAGGCGGCGAGACCGTCAACCGTCTCCACGGAAGCTGCGCCTCACAGCTCCTGATTCGTGCTCAGTCACGAACAAGGGCGGGGGAGCAGCCGGCGACCGAAGCCCACGCACAGGAAGAAACGCGGGCCCGGAGGGCGCAACGGGCGCGGCGCCCACGGCAAGAGGCAGCTCCTGCTCCAGAGAGCCTCTCCCTCGGAGGGTTTTTGCCGCGCTCCCCACCTTCCCCCCCCCCGCAGGGCCCCGTAGGGCCTGCCCGTACCAATCGCCGAGCACCCGCGCAGCCTCTCCGGGGCGCCTCGGAGGTCCCCGTGCAGGCCTCGGAAGATTTCGTGCAGCCGTTCCAGATGCTCCGAAGAGCCGCTGCCGCGGTCCATCACGACGCCGGAGCTACGGCCGAAAAGGCGAAGGCTTCCCACCCCCCAAGAACTGTCCCGGCGACTGTGGTGTGGGAGGCACTTCCGGGATGGGAAGCCGGGGCAGCCGGCCTCCCCGGCGCCGGCAGCGAGTCCTCCCCGCCCGCCATCCGCGTGCCTGGAGCCGCCTCTCGACGAAGAAGGATCACCATGCACAGCGCCCCCAAAGCTTGGGCGGGGAGGGAATAGCTTTCCCCGTTCGAAAGAGGGAATGTTTTCTTCGTCCAAATATTGAAAGAGAAGGGGTTGAGTTACACGTATGTAGATGTAAGGACCACTAGACGGTTGTTGTTCTGGGCTGTCAAGTTGCCTTCGACTTAATGAATGACCCAGCGATCTGCAAAATATCCTGTCCTCAATCACCCTGCTCAGCTCTTGCAAAGGCAAGCCTGTGACTGAACACAGTAGGGGTCATTTTTAAAGTAAAGATGTACAGTATGATGTGATCTTTCCGTAAATTTATTTTCTGAGGTGAACGGGTATACTATACATGAAAATTCAAAACAGATGTAAACTCGAAAACAGCTTCCTAAAGATAGAGAATGAAACAAAACAAGATAAATTAGTTTTGAGAGTGCACATTGTATGGTTCTCTGTGTAGTTTATGGTGCAGCATGAAATAATGAACTTCAGTACAAGTTCGCAAAAAAAAAAGATAGTACTGTGTGTTCCATAAAATAAGACAGGGTCTTATATTAATTTTTGCTCCAAAAATGCATTAGGGCTTATTTTCAGGGGATTTTTTTAAAATGTACAACAATCTACATTTATTCAAATACAGCCATGTCATCTTCTGGTTGCTGCACAAGGGTAGAGGGTGGGGTTTCACTTAATTGGGGCTTCTTTTTGGGGTAGAGCTTATATTACAAGCATCCTGAAAAATCATACTAGGTCTTATTTTCAGATTAGGTCTTATTTTCAAGGAAACAGGGTATTAGGATGTTCAGAATATCATGGGCCAAGAAAGTGGCACTGAACTATTGCTGAGATTAATGTAAAAATATGAAGAAATAAACTGAAAAAGCTTGAATACTCTGATCACTTAACAAGAAAAAAAAATCCAAGATTATTAAGATGGCCATGTAGGATTTTAGAAAGGAGAAAATGAGTACAGAAAGAAGAAAACGTATTGGTTAAGAGCCTTAAACACTGGTTTGGATGCAGCCCGAATTCAGAACTGTTGTAGTCAACGTCATTGTAACTGTGGTAACATCCAACCTTCAGTAGAAGAGGAATGTGTCGCAGGAAGATAGAGCCCATTAAAAATTTTTTGACCTCTATTCCATTTACACCTGTGAATTATACTTCACTACATGGACTGGCAGGATAACTGGGTGAACTAGCATGAACTGAGCATCTACTCCCACATTTTCTGAAAAGCAAAATAAAGTAACAGTGAGTTGAAAAAAAAAGCAAACAATTTATGTTCATAAAAACAGGAGTAGGAAGTGGAGAATGCCTGATCTGAGAAATCCACTGCAAATTAAATACTGCTGCAGTAGTTTCAGGTTTGATATGCCAGAGATTTGAAGTCAAGACAAAAGTTCTTAGAGAGACAGGACCTATGGTGTTGCGGACAGAACATAGCAAGGTGGGGAGGGGGGGTGATGAAATGCTGCAAAAGGTGAAATAGAGGAATTTGTTACTGATGTAGATGGGTAGAGTATCTGGAGAACTACATTCGAACATCAGTATCAATTCTAGCAAGCCTTCACACCTCATTTTTTTTTTATTGATAAAAATTGAACCTTTTAACTCAAAAGGTCCTCTTGTGCCCTCTAGAGGGCATGGGAGGCAATTTTGTTGATGCAGTCATTGTGAGGTTGTAAGAGTTTATCCTCAAAAATGTACGTTACTAACCTATTTTATGAACAAAAAGAAGAGTTCTGCCAAATTTGAGAAAGTAATCTAAATGCCTTCATCACTTCTGAACAATGGACTGAGTTTGGAAATCCTCTTTTGAAAATTGTTTCCTATTCAGTAAGAGGAAGCTCATACTGTACATCACTTGTATCTGGCCCCTCTAATGTTTAAGTTATATAAAGATATATACAGTATCTGTATAAAGTGTTGGACAGATGGTGGTTCAGTATCTATGTATATTTATGGTGGGGGGCTTTCGGGATGAAACCAATAAATGATTAATCAAATGCTGGCACTAGGATTACTGTCATTACTTTAAAATAATAGCTGAATTGTCGTCGTTTAGTCGTGTCCGACTCTTCGTGACCCCATGGACCAGAGCACACCAGGCCCCTCTATCTTCTACTGCCTCCCGGAGTTGTGTCAAATTCATGTTGGTTGCTTCGCAGACACTGTCCAGCCATCTCATCCTCGGTCGTCCCCTTCTCCTCTTGCCATCACACTTTCCCAACATCAGGGTCTTTTCCAGGGAGTCTTTTCTTCTCATTAGATGGCCAAAGTACTGGAGCCTCAGCTTCAGGATCTGTCCTTCCAGTGAGCACTCAGGGTTGATTTCCTTTAGAACTGATAGGTTTGTTCTCCTTGCAGTCCAGGGGATTCTCAAGAGCCTCCTCCAGCACCACAATTCAAAGGCATCAATTCTTCGGCGGTCTGCTTTCTTTATGGTCCAGCTCTCACTTCCATACATCACAACAGGAAAAACCATTTAATTTCGTGGCTGCTGTCTCCATCTGCAGTGATCATGGAGCCCAGGAAAATAAAATCTGTCACTGCCTCCATATCTTTCCCTTCTATTTGCTAGGAGGTGATGGGGTCCGTGGCCATGATCTTAGTTTTTTGATGTTGAGCTTCAGAGCATTTTTTGCACTCTCCTCTTTCACCCTCATTACAAGGTTCTTTAATTCCTCCTCACTTTCTGCCATCAGAGTGGTGTCATCTGCATATCGGAGGTTGTTGATATTTCTTCCGGCAATCTTAATTCCGGCTTGGGATTCCTCCAGTCCAGCCTTCCGCATGATGTATTCTGCATATAAGTTGAATAAGCTGGGGGACAATAGCTGAATTGTAAAGCATATTAAAAATATTACGATAACTTTATATATATTTTTGGTAGCCAAGATGGAGATTTCAGACACATGGAAAGTAAATAAATCAGTATCAGTAACTGGTGGCTAAAGGTATGACAAAGCTTTCATTGATGGACAAACCAATGATACAAGTCACTGTATGAATGAATGATCCTGACCAACCATGCCATTTTTATGAGATTGGCAAAAATGACCAGCTGTGTGGATAAATATAAGCGATGCTACAATTATTCCATGTTGATCTATGGCAGAAAATCTTTTGATGGGCACTGCATCTAATAGTTGTATTATTGCTGAATAATGCCCCCCTTTTTGGGAGATGTCATGTCTATGTATTATGTGTTGATTTCATATGCATTAAGGTTTTTGAGTGTGTGTGTGGTTTACATGTATTGCTGTAATTTTAATAAAGTAAAAAGTTAATACTTTTAAAAGTTACTTTGATTGCAGTTGGACAACCAAATAACAGCACAATCTAACCACTATTGAAATCTGCCTAAAGAAAAGAAGGGATAGATGAAAGTATTTGCCAGCAGAGAGGAGCTGCATTGAAAAAGCAGCCCATTTACTCTGAAGATCTTCCAAAGCTGACCCATGACATTTTACTGCTTGATGCAAAAGACAAGATAGTGCCCCCTTCTCCATTTTACTTAACAGTATTTTTTATTTATTTTATTAATTATTTTAAATATTTTACCTCCCTTTCTTCTTAAAAAGGGGCCAAGGTGGCTTGCATCATTAAAATATAGTTTTTAAAACTTAAAGAAAGTATGTATACAAATATTTTAAAAGTCTCAAACCACACAAAAAATGATAAAGAAAATCAACACCCAAAACACATTCAAGCAACAAGACAAAACACTCCATTTAATACCTCTCGCATAGAGCCAGTCACTAAGGGAAAGCTTGCCTGAAGAGAAAATTCTTTGCTTGCTTGCAGAAGGAGAACAAAGATGGGGCCAGCCTAGCCTCCTGTGGGAAGGAGTTCCAAAGTATGGGAGCAGCAACAGAGAAGGCCCTCCTTTGTAACCATCAAATGCACCTGTGAAGATGGTGGGACAGAAAGAAAGGCCTCTCCTGATGATCTTAACACCCAGGCAGGCTCATAAATGGAGACAAAGTGCCTGAGATAGCTTGAAGTCCAGCTGTTTAGGGCTTTATAGGTTAAAACAACTTTGAATTGTGCCCAGATGGAAAAGAGAAACAGGTTTACGTGGGTGTCATCCACATATTGGTGATACCAAACCCCCAGACTCCAGATAATCCCTCCCAGCAATTTCATGTAGTTGTTAAATAGCATGGAGGACAAAGCCAAACCCTGAGGGACCTTGTAGGCCAGCAGCCAGCTGCCGCCAAACAGGAGTCTTCTGAGTTTTCTCCAGGAAGGACTGAAGCCATCATAAAACAGTGCCTCATGGGCCAAAAGGATACCATGGTCAATGGTATTAAAAGCCACTGAGAGGTCCAACAGAGCCAACGGGGACACAATCCCACTATCCATTTCTTGATGTAGGTCATTCACCAAGGGAACCAAAGTAGTCTCCAATAACCAGAGCAGCTGCAAATATGCAATTGTTACTTTTTGTTTCCCATTCTACTTGCACCCACTGCCATCTCTCACCATATAGACTGAATACAAACCTATTGTCTAGATATTGTACTCCACATGTCTGAAGAAATGTTATAATCCCTGAATATTCACACTGAAATAAATGTGTTAGTATTAAAGATGCCACAACAACTTTGTTTTGTTTTGCTTTTATGTGAGGCAGTATGACATCACATTGTAAAGCTGTTCCATAATAGAATAAAGCAAAAATGGTAGTTCTTGGCTAGTCCTTTATCACACCATTACCCTGTTCCACATGACATAGCCATCCACTTGTAACCCTCTCATGCTCTGCCAATTTTTCCATCTTAGTTCATTGTAGAAGATCCATACAGGGGGAGAGCAGAAGAATGGAATAACTAGATAGTGCCTCCTAAACACTTGACAAGGAGTGGGCTTTTTGCCATCTTAGGGGTGCTCTTGGACCCAGTGCTGATCCTGGAAGACCATTTGGCTGCTGTGGCCAGGAGTCCAGTTGAACCCATTTTCACTGCACCACTTACTAGATAAGGTGGATTTTGCCACCATGATTCATGTCCCAGATATCTCCCAATTACATTATTATAATGCATACCTTATGGGTCTGGCCTTGCAAAATGTTTGGAGGATACAGCGAGTGCAAAATTACTCGGATCAGCGAAGCCCTAAATGGCTTGAAGCATAATATCTGAAAGACTGCCTTTTCCAGTATG